TCTTCAATTTGGTCGATAAACTTTTTGGTCTGGGGCTCTTCTGCAAATAAAATTTGATTTATTACTCTTTCCTTATTTATTCTTGCTACGTGACCAATCGTGACGTGATTTACATGAATAATGCGGTAATATACTACATTAGAGGGTGTAAAACTTTAGTACTTACCTAATTGTGCAAAGTGTCAGATAAGAAAATTAATACCTATAAACTTTTCTCTAGTATTTGGTGGTAGAGCCATGCTGCAGTTATATTAGTAGTATAGTTGTAGCACGAATGGGTCGGCTCAACCGGGGAAGGACCACGGTCTCCTAGAATACCAGCGTAAAATAGTAGCTTAATGCTGCTGTGTTTCATATGGTGAGTGTAGAGAACCGGAGAACCTTTTTACTGGAAACGAGGCATTCCATCTTAGTCTTCACGGGTGACAACGCATCTGCATTTTGATTTGTAATCGAGGATAGATGTAGATGTCTATGGGCCGCTGCAACCTGCAACCACTTATCATCAGATAGACTGTATGCTCGTTTGTCACCCTATTCTATAAAAAAAAGTTAATAAAACCTTAATAAGTGTTCGGTATAACATCTAATTGCCTTTCCTACGGAACGGCAAGGAAAGGACGGAAATAATAACAGATAGCCCATGTGCTTATCATAACATGAGACTCCATCTATCCATTACAGCCTACTAAATTTGCCCTCCTACGTAGATTGCCTCATAGGAGAGATTTTGTCGTAGCTGCCACGCCTGGTAGGCGGTTGGCAATAGAAGTTTTCTAAAATTTTGATTTCCTCTTGCTTCAGTTTCCTTGAGTCGCTTCTTGCGACACCCGTGGGACAATATGGGGTACCTACTGATGACTTGGTACTATATTTTGAATATTAGAAAATATTAGGTGCAAATTGCAGTAATAAATTATTTATAGGGAGCAGAAGAATAATTCTATAAAAATTTTCGCACAAATAAATACTACGCAATTTTGGTTCGTTTTTCTATAAAAGCAGTTTTCTGAATATTGTTCTGGAGATCATCGAGGCGCCAATACACAATCCTATTAATGTTCCTGCCTTTAATAAATATAGTCGGGAGCTTTTTAAAAAGTACTTACGCAATAAACTATACAACGTAGATAAATTCGCGCCTTGAAAATATGGTGGCATGTCGCCTGAATTAAATTTATAATCTTATAGTTTAGAATGCGGCTTTCTTTAAAAAGTAAAAGAAGGCCAAACGGGCACACAGTCCACCCAATGGTAAGTGGATGCTGTGGCCCATAGACATCTACACTTATCCTCGATTAAGAATCAAAACGCAGATGCGTAGTGTGCGTAGTCACCCCTGAGGACCAAGAAGGAATGCCTTATGCTTTGCCTCGTTTCCAGTAAAAAAGGGTCTCCAGATCTCTACTCTACTCACCATACGAAATACAGCAGTATTAAGCTGCTATTTTACGCTGGTATTCTGTAAGAGTGTGGTCCTTCCCCGGTGAGGTAATAATATGGTGAGGTGGTTAGTTACTTACTTGTACTGAAATTATCTGTAAACCTATGATATTGAATAGTAAAGTTGCGAAAATGCTTCGATTGGAATGGATTCTTTTACGACACCACTATACCGGGGAAATAAAATCAATAGGATGTAATTAAACACTCCTAGGAAGTAAAAGCCAGCTGCAACCTTCCTTTATAGTTAATACCTTAAAAGTGGAAGCAAAACCGCGACCTCACGTTCCAAGAACGGACACGGTCTCGATGTAAGCACACTTAATTCAATTATAACACCATTGTCGCCTTTTCCTTACAAGCCTCAACACTACAATGCTTTATATTTTGCCAACAATAACTGTACATATTTTCAACACAATGCCGTCAACACTCGGACGCGATGACGTCCAGTCACGACGGTCAGTATTTTTTCGCCACTCGAAACTAACGGTATAGAAATAAATTTACCATGTTTGGAGTGTGTAAAAGGATTGTCCGCTTTGTGTTGTCGCTATTAGAGTTTATATCATCATTACTTTCAGTCTTTGACATTTATTATATTGAATTACCAGTTAAAGATCACCAGAAATTGCCCCCGTCACCGATTTTCACGACATTTTCCTGAAAGGACACGACACTCAGAGGACAAATGAAGGGATGAAAACTTTTAATCACCACTTACACAAGACAACCTCCATTTATATTCAAACTTTTGTTTGCTTGAGAGTTATTATTAAGATTCTCAAAAGAAAGGTATTGCATACGCATAATCTTTGTATGTTCGAATATTAAATACATAGAGAATATAACCACTGATTATGAAATTTTAAAACCAACATAATTTAAATACCTATAACTGCTGTAAAATACAGTTTTAGAAACTCAGTAATATATTGCCGTTACGTTTTTCTATCATTATTAAATTCTTACATATCTTATTTATGTCTTTCTAATTCAGGCTCAAAAAAGGCCACCATTGGGCATGGGCCTTTCCGATAGTGTGAAATTGCCGTAGTAGCCATGCTTGAATAGCAGATTCGTAATTGCAGTATCCGACGTCTCGCTACTTTGACACTGGTTTCACAGGTCTGGGTATTTTGAATACGGCATATACGAGATGATGCCAATATCAGTTGAATGTTATGCTTATCAAGCGTGAAGATTGAGAAAATCTCTCTACGCCGCCGGCAGATTTCCGTATTAAGCTATGGATCCTTTTGACATGTTAAATAAAATACTGCAATTTTGCACACGAATTCAAAAGTTATGTATATTTTCTTAATCATCTTAGGATTGTTTACATTATTATGAATCTTATAGTCACCCTTTTCACGAAAGTTAAATTGTGTTTACACTTCAAGTGTTTATCGTGTCCTGAACCAGATACCGATCTTAATCTCGGATTAGTGGCACGTTAAAGGCCATTGTTAGGTTGTCTAAATGCGTTTCATTATGTCTAAGTGAATGTATTGCCCACCTATGAGACACAATGAGCGACTTAATAGTTCGAACACTTCACTCCCACGCGTCAGAATAGAGCTTGGCTAAATCTTTTCCGATCTTTTCGTATCCGGTTGCGAGTGTTTATTATTCCTGTAGTAATTGTTAGCCACAAATATGTTCTATTGTTTGAGAAAAGATTCTGAAAAAAGTTATAACAAGCTATGTATGTACCTACGTAGATTACACATATATGAAAAAGTCTTTTCTTCTAGCCCGACTTATGCTATATAAAGTAAAAGCCTACACACGTCCCACTGTTGGGAAAATTTAACGTCTAATTTTCTGGATAACTAATTCATGGCATCCGGAGACGTAAACCTTTAAAATACGGAGTAAGTAAGTGAACGCAATGCGTATTTTTCACTTTATATTCGTTCAAAAAGAAAGTTACATAATCCCTTTTGGGTTTGTTTGCAACTCTGAGATCGTTGCTAATAGATGCTTAAGATAGAGAACAGAGGCACTGGTACATCACATCGAATTATTTGATATTGTACTTTGGTTTGTAGAGTGTGAGAGCAAAACACGTATTCATAAATTCATAAAGTAGGTAATTTTTACTGTTAACTGATAGGGTTTTGCCTTTGATTTTTTTTTTATAGGATAGGGTGACAAACGAGCACACAGTCCACCTGATGGTAAGTGGTTGCTATGGCCCATAGACATCCACATCTATCCTCGATTACGAATCAAAATGCAGATGCGTTGTCACCCGTGAGGACTAAGATGGAATGCCTCATTTCCAGCAAAAAGGGTCTCCGGTTCTCTACACTCACCATACGAAATACAGCAGCATTAAGCTACTATTTCACGCTGGTATTCTGTGAGAGCGTGGTCCTTCCCCGGTCGAGCCGACCCATTCGTGCTACAACTATACTTCTAATATAACTGCAGCATGGCTCTACCACGTAAAAAATATTATATCTATTAAATACACGGGGATGAATTATTTACACAAACGTACTTTGTACATACATACCTAATACCTTAGTACATTACATTCATTCGTACATATTTTATACGTGGTAGAGCCACGCTGCAGCTATATTATGGTTGTAAGCACGAATGGGTCGGCTCGACCGGGGAAGGACCACGCTCTCACAGAATACTAGCATAAAATAGCAGCATAATGTAGCTGTGTTTCGTATGGTGAGTGTAGAGAACCGGAGACCGGTTTAACTGGAATCGAAGCATCCATTCCATCTTAGTCCTCAAGGGTGACTTATATATAGTCTTTGGGTGACGATGACAACGCATCTGCATTTTGATTCTTCATCGAGGTTAAAAATGTACATGTACATGTCTATGGGCCACAGCATACACTTACCATCAGGTGAATTGTGTGCTCGTTTGTCATCCTTTTCCTATAAAAAACATATCATGTAAATAAAAGTCTGTTAAAAAACGTTACGTCTTTTTTTTTAAAGAAAAATCACTCTTCGACCATTTTGAAAAGGTAGAATACATAAAATGTACAAAAACTGCAAACGGTTCTGTAAGTTAGTTGTTTGTTTAAACTTAAAATAAACATAATGACTTTTCAAGTGACTCTGAAAGCTGAAACCATACTCATATTATTTGTAAAACATGATATGCACTCACTCACACATAGGTATGTACCTACGTAAAAATATTTGTAAAGTTGTGGCATGTTTTGGAACCATATTGAACATAACATTGCATTGTTTGTATATATGGTTCACCTGAGGTTCACCGTGTCTGTGATTTTTATCTATTGGTCTGCCCACAAACCTCCACAAACAGTCCTTGAGTAGGTACCTATACATCCAACCAAAGAGTATTATGATCCCTACATCCAATGATATTGACTATAAACTAAGTAGATTTTCATCAATTTATGGTTTTATAATTTATAACAGACGTCAGTTGTAGTTTTAAATTGGAAAATTAAAGGTTATAAAATGCATAATATTTTCAGTATCAAATCTCTCAAAATTAGCAAATTTTCTGTCCAAAATGTGATATTTTTGTTATTTCTGGTATTTCTTACTATGGGATTTCATGTGTGGCTTGTTTGCAAAACATTAGCAGTCTTAGACGATGTCAGCAGTATTGTTGTATTAAAACACGGCAAGGGTTTGAACAAACAATTGCCCCATAAAACGATATATATTCTTAATTGGGATAGTAATTTGGATACACAAAATAATTTATTCGATCGTTGCACTGTAAGAAATTGTATAATAACTAAAGATAGACATTATTTCGGTGAGGATTATTCAAACTTTGATGCGCTGCTGTTCACTGAATCATTCTTAGGTTCAAATTACAAACCACAAAAGGGATCAAAAGCTCTCCGTATCTTTGCGTCGCCCTCACCACCACATAATAAAATAACCTGTGATAAACACTATGACAACTTCTTTAATTTGACATTTACGTATCGCCTTAACTCCGACATCGTATGGAAATATTTTGTTGTGCGAAATTTTACCAGAAATATTATAGCTCCAAACCTCGCTCCCGTGTGGGATGTGAATCCGAACTCAGTTAATATTAACATAAAGTCCATTATACAACGCAAAATGAGACCAGTCGCGTACATGGAATGTGATAGTAATTACGACAGTTGGAAAAAGACGTACCTCACTAAACTAGAAAACAACCTCTCACAGTACTTCCTGAAAATTGATACGTACCATTGCTCTGGGTGTAGGTATGGCAATTGTAAAAATATGCTAAGAAGCGATTATTACTTTTACATAATATTTGAAGACTATTTCGCTGAGGACTATGTGACAAAGAAATTATTATATGCTTACGATAATTACGTGGTTCCAATAATTTATGGTGGTGCTAATTATAGCAGGTAAGTTTAAAATACTATTGCAATATAAGCCCACGTATATGCTCGAAAATCATACGCATACGGTTGATGACACGAATCTAGTAGAGCGGCCCCTCACTAGATGGAGTGACGACCTGAAAAGATATGCAGGAAGTCGATGGATGCAGGTGGCTCAGAACCGTGCTTTGTGGCATTCCTTGAGTGAGGCCTATGTTCAGCGGTGAACTTGTGGGAAGGCTGCAATGATGATGTAGAAAAAAGTATAGAATCAAAAATGTAAAAACAATCTGAATATAGATTCTTTCTTTCCTTAACCTAAGTTAACACTTTTCCTTTAACGTACAGATTTCTACCACCGCATTCTTATATTGACGCTTACGAAACAAATCCCAACGATATCGCCGCAGAAATTCAAAGATCACTAAACAGCTATGCTGATTATGAAAAATATTTCAAATGGAGGAACATATACACAATCGAAAACTACCAACCGTTTTGCGACCTGTGCGATGTTTTAAATCGGAGGAAATCAAGAATCACGCCCGCAAAGAAAGACTTCAGGGAGTGGTGGAACGGTAAAGGTGGTATTAAGTTATGTTCTTTACAGCAATTTAATAATGGAACTCCAGAAAGTGATTTAAAGCTAGCCAGCTAGCCACGAAGATATGATAATAATTGGTTAGTAGAGATGCATGTCAATTGAAGCATTTTAAGGTAGCAAAATAAAACTTATTATGGAAGTTGTATAGGAGTAACAACGTCATGGTTTCTTGTTCATGTCTTATTTGCATATTTAATAATAAAACTGATTTAAAATAAAATCTCGTTTTTACAAAGTTTTAGTAATTTATTAATGATGATGTCAATCAACCAAATACCCGAAGGCAAAAAGCATGTTAGGTATAAATGTATTTCATTTTGACGATCAAATAGATGAAGCAGATGAGCTTTTATGCAACTTCTCGAATGCACATATCACCTAGTTTAAGTAATAAGTCGAACGAAAGTAATTCGAAAGCACATAAGATTAGAAATTTTTTTGCGTTTCCTTTATCTTTAGGTGGTAGAACCAAGCTGTAGCTATATCATGGTTGTAGCACGAATGGATCAGCTCGACCGGGGTAGGACCACGCTCTCACAGAATACCAGCCTAAAACAGCATAATGCTGCTGTGTTTCGTATGGTAAGTGTAGAGAACCGGGGACCCCTTTTACTGCAAACGAAGCATTCCATCTTAATTTTTAGGGGTGACAAAGAATCTGCATTTTGATTCTTAATCAAAGATAAATGTAGATGTCTATGGGCCACAGCATTCACGTACCATCAGGTGGACTGTCTCATACGTCATCCTTTTACTATAGAAAAAAATCTAAGTTGAAAATAGATGAAACGATGGTACGGTATAGCTTACAGATTATTTTTGCAAAGTTCCGTTACCTTTATTCAAAGTTATAATGTCCCGGTTCAACGCCCTTACTCAACACAAATGCAGCCACAAAAATAATCTCCCGCGACGCGAGCTTACAGAAAACTCATCAAATCCAAACTTATAAGACTTCATTGAGCGCGCGACCGATAGTTTTCTAATCCGCCCACACAATAACACTGCTTTATTAATTTCGTATCGCTCACAAAAGAGCATGTTGGCTACAAATATTGCAAAAGACGCAGCAGTAATTAATGTTGGAGTCGCATTGGTTGAGCTTGTTAGGTCCCGGGGGAGGCGCGAGAGCACAATACGATAGTTAGGAAAGGGGGCGCGTATCGGCGGACGTTTAACGAGCAAATTATTTAGTAAATGTTGCCAAATAATAACATTAAATGCGGGTACGTGGGGTTGATGAGATGCGCTTCGTCGCGCTCTGTGAAATAGCTGGTTTAGTGTGGATTTGTCTTGAATACCTCGTACTTCTTATTAAACTAATACGAAAAACAAATAGAATACTTCTTCTTTATTAGCCCTTTAAGGAGATACCGTGAAAAAATGCACCTCCTTTCATCGAATTGTATAAGACTATGACACCACTAATGAAACTGGAATTTTTATATAGGTAAATTAATGTCTTTATCATGAATTTGCTTGTTCAAAAACACGATTGTATAATTTAGACTCGATTAAATTATTTTCTAAAATAGATATTGTTGAAATTGCCACGAAATTACTTAATCTATATGCTTGGGAATCACCCAAATATATTTATGAGATCAATATTCGTAATTTACTTGCTCATAATTTTGATTACTTAAATCAATAAAAATTAAAAATTATAGAATATTTTTTATATTATATTAGAAATAAATAAAAACATTATGTATTCACTCGATCAGTCTTCGATGTGACGTCCAGTACACAACTGGACTTGCGTCTTGAATTCTCTCTATTGTTGGAAAGATTTGTCATAAATGCTACACAGCATGCGGATTAGCAAATCGCAATACCAGATATTTCGCAACGTTGGCGCTACTTGAACAACTAAGAATTTGATTAAAACTACTTTTACGGATTTTATCGCGTTTTATTTATATTAATTTTAATACCCGACGTTTCGGGTGCTTTCCAGCACCCATGGTTACGGGGGACTGAGGTGACTGACGTCCCGATGTCAAAGTTAACCCGGAGTACCTTCAGCTTTTTAATTATTGTGTTTGGTCCGATCTACGCAGAATGAACTAACTGTATTTTGAAGTCTTGCAGTGGTATGCCTGGGTTTAGTTTTAATTTTATTAATTATAGGATCCCAAGCAGGTGGTAGTACCCAGCCTCCTTCTCTATTGAAATTAGGATGTTTTTTAATTTCAATAGCCTTCACGTATCATCCTTGATAGGAATCGATGTTCTTTCGCGAGGATTTGTGGTCTATCAAATCTGATGTAATGGTTGGGGCCATCTAGAATATGATCGCAAACTGCAGACTTCCCGGAACGTTGATGCTTCACGTCAGCTATGTGTTCTTTTACGCGGGTTCTAATTGATCTCTTTGTTTGCCCTATATATGGGAGACCACAATCACAATCAAGCTTGTACACTCCTGCATCTTGTAGAGGAATTATGACACTTGACGGATGGTAAGAACTGACTAATCTTCTTCGGCGGCTTGTAGAATGTTCTAATAGAAGCTCGATGTAGCCAATCTTGTCTGTGACACCTCTGACATATGGTAGTACAGCAGGCACACGCTCGACTGTGGCCGGCTTCACTCGGTCACTGTGACGGAGGCTACTAGAGGAGAGGAGGGAGAACTAAGAATTTGTATTTCACACTAATAATAATAATAAATAGTATATATGTAATACAAAAATAATTACTGAGGAACGATATTGATCCTAATTTATTCATCTAGGACACACAAAACACTTCAAGATACGAACAAAAGCCGATCGTTAGACAGCATTAATGACAGGTACCATTGCAGCTTACCAAAAGTCCACTGCAGAACATGGAACTTCATTGTTTGTTTGAGTTATTACAGATTACATTGATAATGGGTGCGTTTGGCAGAAAAAAGCGCTAGCAAGCGCTTGTAAGCAAAATGGCGATCGTAAGCGGTAAGCGCTGTCAAATCGTAAGTAGCTATTTTCCTCCAGGACACGATGTTAGTTTTAACCGGGGAACCTAACCTAATTTAAATATATGTTTGTGAAGTATTCATATTAAAAACTTACCAGTCATGAATTTTTAATAACATGTATATGTTTATTCACGTTATTATATTACTTAAAACTAATATTGCACAAAACAATTTATAAACTCTACTTCAAAACAAACAAATTAAATAAGCAAAATGGCGGATTGTGTCAGCCGTAGACATAGCATTCTCTGTCTACGGTGTCAGCGCTACTGAAGTAGTAATCGTGTCCTGGCCGAAAACTATTTCAGCGCTTATAAGCGCTTGCTAGCGCTTTTTTCTGCCAAACGCACCCGATGTTTTCATTTTATTGTATTATTCAGTATAATTAAATTTTACCACTTGTTATATTTTTTAGGGTTGCTGACGTTGTTGACGCTGCTACCTCTGATATTCTTACACCGCCACTACATGGTATAATGGTACATGAGGTTTCAACGATAGTAAACATGGATCTACTACTAGCTTTGCACAAACCTAGAATCCATTGTGTTCACCTTTCGATATTTCGTTGTATCAACGAATAATAATGTCCTCAAGACCGAATTTCGGTCACGGCGGCCAGCCTCAACGGAGGCTAGCCCTCGGCGCAGGACAGGGTTATAGTGCCCAAGTGTATGCGCAAGCACAGGTGCACTCTCTATTCCCTCACTCTCATAATCCGATGGGACGGTAAACCGACACGACCGGAAAGAGATAAGGTGCAGGACCAACGGTTTTACCTGCTTTCCGAGGCACGGGGGTGAGACACCGCCAACTTCCTGACTCCGGCCCGACCCGGGATTCGAACGCAGGACCTCATGATCAGCAGTCGCACTACTACAACCACTAGACCAACGAAGCAGTAATTATTAACATTATTATGGCTTACTATGGGTATTGATTTTATTATTATGGCTATTTATTAACACACTGGAGACTGTCTTCTTCTTATTTTGGTTATAATCAACTAGTTCTTCTCAGTAGCTTTATGGGTTGTTTTAAATTTATAAATCTTTATGTTAGCATGGACATGAGTCCCTTCCACTGTTGTAAAGATTTTCTGTAAATGCGATGCTTGGCAGGCAGTTGATGATCGCAATATCAGATGTCTCACACCTTTGATAGCGTATTTTACATTAAGTATACTGGATGAACTTTTTTACCCTCTGGAAAAAATACGGTGTAACGTGTGAACGGAGTAGAAGTCTATGGCACTGATATTTTACAAAAAATAAAAACAAAAATGTTGAATCAAACGTTTTATTATACGGAACCGAGGATAGAGCTTTTAAAAAAGCTATTTATTAAACAACACTATAATATAATTAAATAAAATTAACAATCAAGAATTAGTAAACTTACAATACGGTAATAACTGGGACTTAGAATAATGATATAGCAAAGATTTTGTAAAGATACAGTAATGACTGAGTAACGATGTATGAATGAGACTGAGAATGGAACGAGAGTGAACGTAGATTGTAGATTCTAGATTCTTTTGCGTCCTTTTTTTGCGTCCGGGCAAACCTCCGGAAAGCGGGGGAGGGAGGTGGGGAATTCTCATAGCATACCACGCAGCCGGCTGCGTGGTTATGTGGTGACTTTTACCCACTAAACCCCACCTTTTAGGGACTGGCTTAACAATCTAACTAGAGATTTTTAAGCCTTATCGAACGCGACCCTCCTTGGGTGAAAGGAGGGCGCTAGCGGCGAGTAGCCGCTGGGAAGAGTTGCTGCCTAGCTAAGGCAGCTTAAGAATGGGATGACTACTTATATTGAGTTTAAAAAGTGTTGGTGCTCGGTAAGCGCGAGCAGACGGTCTTGAGGGGACTGAGAAGCGCGCAGTTTGCGTGCTAAAATTGCGATCTCTCTTACGTCGATATTGCGGATAACAGTGTATACTGTATGAACGTTATCGGCGTAAGAGAGTTCCGCCTGATGTCGGGGCCCTGGTGGGCGAAGGTGAGGAGGCCTGTAGGTCCCTGAGGGGGGCTAATATAGGTCCTGAGGTAACTGAGAGTTGCCCTGAAGGGGCATTTTGGATGGG